AGCAATTATAAGTCAATTCTGTCAAAAATTAGACCTTATGTATTGACACAAAACACCTTGGATCGACACATCCTGCTTCTCCTGCATACTATGAGTCGACACATCCTCCTTATGGATCGACTCATTCTGGTTTTCAATACAGCATGTATCGACACATGCACTCTTCGTGTCGACTCGTCCTGAGTCTTGTACTCATCATGCATCGACACATCCTCTCTTCGTGTCGACTAATCCTGAGTCTTATACTTAACATGCATCGACGCAAGCCCTGCATGCATTGACTCATCCTGAGTCGAATATCCTTCATGTATCGACACATGCAGCTTGGGTCGACACATCCTTCAGCAGTCTGCATAATTTTCTGCGTTTTCTACTGTATTTTGCTATGGGAATCATACTACAGCCCTAAAAACCTCATTATGATCATGATAATTCATCACCTAATATTACACTCTATTACTCCATTGATCAAACAACATAATAACATTCTTATTCATCAAAAATTCATCAAATCTTCATCATACATCATTCATAATGCAATTTATGCAAGAACAAACATCAATTACATCTAACCCCATATATCAAACATCATGAACCCAATTATAAAGCCAGAACCCCACCCTTACCTTGGATCGAAGGTCGCTCTACAATGTCTGGGTTGAATCTCTGTTCTTGCCGTTTCCTTCTATTTTCCAGCAGCTTCACGTTCTTCACAATCCTTATTTCTCTTCTTACTGCTTCATCCTTCTATTCTAACAACAAATAATAAAATAACCTAATATAATTATATTATTCCTTATTGGGCTCAAAACCTACACCCCCTTATTACTTCCACTCACACCATATAGGCCCACATTAAATAATATTAGCTTCTAACATTATTTCACATAATAATATAATACCTCAAATATATTATTATTTCTCCATTTAATAAAATAAATCCAATTTAATAACACTTCTTCACAATTATTCCAAAAATAATTTAATTAAATAATTAATTAAATTACGGGCGTTACAGGTATCATGTTTTGAGTTTGAGCTGCTTTTGATGAGTTCCAATGATTGGATTAGCTTCCTCAAGTTCCTAGGAAGCTAATGTGATGCTTAGCTTGAGCTGAAAGTGCCTGAGGAGTTCTGGAGAAGTCAAGGTGCAAGGTGTTGTTTTTGAAAATGGTGGATGATGATGGAGGTGTTATAGTTGTGTAGCAGGTGTTGGAATTGTTTGTGTAGGTTATTTAGAAGCTTTTGAAAGTAAAAGGTCAAGAAACGCACGAGCAAATTTGGAGATTGGATTCAAAACTAAAAAATGGCAAGTTTTGAGATGTTTTTGGAGATTATGTGTTGTAGGGAGTTTCAGGGCTTAAGCATGCGTGTGTTTTCTTGCACACGACTTGGGTTTATGTATGGAAAGGGTTGGAGAGCTATTGCACAAAAGATTTTTGAGTTATAGGGTTATGGCTCAATTGCTTGATTTTAAAGAAAAGTGAAAAATCTGGTTTCAAGGCAGCAAGTACAAGCATGTAGTGTGGTTTCCAACTTTAAATAAGCTCATCTGACTTTATAGAGGAAGCTTGTGCAAAAGGAACAAGTGCAAATTTCAATGCAAGTTGACTTTGCATAAAGCTTGCTTTATGTAAATGGCAATGGTGCCTTTGTGCCATTAATGGAAAATTTACTTGGATAAAGCTTGAATCAAGTGGATAATAGCTCAAAAGCAAGTGTAATCTTATGATTATGGAGATATCTTATAGTTTAGAGGCCTGAAAAGCAAGATTGTGCAACATAGGTTTGAAATTTTGAATTTTGTTCATCACAAAATTTGCCTTGTAAAACAACTTGAAACCCCAATTTATGACCTTCGATTCTCCTTGCTCACAAATGATCTTAAGGATTTCTTGGACATTTTGGAAAGCTTGTAATGTTCTCTATGACCCCTCTTTGAATCACTTTTTCACAATCCAAATGGAACTATGTGAAACTTGGGTCAGAAGTTAGGTCAATATCCTGACCAAAAATGTTCAAAATTTCACTAAGTTTTTAGTTTCCTGACCATGACTTCATGGATTAATAACATGAGATCCAAGCATTTCTAGGAGAAGTTTTGTAGATAAATGTTTTAGATCTCATGGAGATCTAAGACTTTCATGCTGAATGTTTCTTTTGAATCACCTTGCATCATGGTGAGAAATTGGCTCAAAGTTGTGAAAAAACATAAAGTTTTCAACACTTAGAAAAATTTCTAAGTTTGAAAACTTTGACTTTTCAAAATGAAATCTTGACTTTTTTATTTCTTGATGAACAAGTTTCATATTTTGACATGTTTTGATGAATTGTGATCTTTGACACTTGATTTTGACCAAAAAGTCAAACTTTGACTTTTCAGTATACAGTTGACTTTTCAGTATACAGTTGACTAAAATTCAACTATCAATCAATTGATCTTGAGCAATGTTTTGAGTCATGCCATTAGGTAAAAATGATGCAATTGAGATCTTGAGATCATTCCTCAAACCAATTAAACATTTTCTAGGTCAAAAATAAGAAATTTCCCTTTCTCAATCAAAACCCTAATTTTGACCATTTTGCCCTTTTGATGATTTGATCCAATTTCTTGAGGATTTATGGTCCAAACTTGATCAAATGATACATGTGAGTTTATAATGTTGATGTGGATCAAATGTTATGAAGTTTGACTATAAATTGGCCACAACTGACTTTTTCCCCAATACAACTGATTTTTAGGTCAACTGCTCAATTGACTGAGCAAAAATGTGATCCAAGGCTTGAAACTTGACATGGGTAATCTTGGGGGTCCATAATGACAAATTAAAGTCATATGAGGCATTAAAAGTTCAATTATCTTTGTGCAATCTCAAACCCTAATTTCAAATCATCAGTGCTTAAGGAGGTGTCTTGAACTAATCAATCCTTGTGCAGTCTTGAACCTAAGGAGATCTTATGAGAAAATATTTGATAAATGAGAGAGAAAATTTTGGGGTACAACACATATTATATGATTTGTTGAGTTGATAAATGCTATGAGTATGCATTGTATATGAATGTTGACATGGTGTATGTATGTTGTGCAATTTGGTGAAGATAATTCAAATATGTTGAATCATGTGAAATATGCTTGTATGATTAAGATATGGAGATTGTCTTAATTACATATATATGTTGAGATTTCACATGCATAATGAGTTTTCAAGAGGAAATGTTTCGTAATTCTATTGGAATTATTGAATTATCCTAAACCTTGAGATAGAGGTTTAAAAGCTTAGAGAACATGCTTTTTGGTGGTTTGTTGTCTTGTTGATGTGAACTCGGTAGGACCGGTAAGAATAACAATTGTTACCACATGCATATTGCATTGGGTCGCATTTGAGTCACATGTGTCAATGTGAATGTTAAATTGGTGTGTAATATGTGATATTGGTGTGAATGTTACATTTGTGGTATTTGTGATTGATTATCTTTGAATCTTGAATCATTGAGAAATATTGTATATGAAAGCATATGAATTATGTTGAAGTATGTTGAATATATGATTATGTGAAGTGTGATGGATTCAATTGATGTATATTTGTTATACATTTATTATTATATATTTCTATAATGATCTCGTTGTACCCCAAAATTTTCCCTCCCATTTTTTATTCAAAATATTCTCCTAGGGATCTCAAATGCTCAAGGTGGCTCAATAATTGATCTGACGAATTCTACTTCTATGAAATGGATCCACAAATAGGTTTTAGTATTTCTCAAGCAAGATTGGGTTTCCAAGGTCTCAAATGGTTATCATGGATTTCTTCTTCATCAATCAACAAGGTTATTTCTCTCCAAATTCATGGATCGGAGTATACCTCTTTGTAGATCAGGGATTCAACCTTTTGTGTTTGAATATGAAATGAATTAGGGTTTGTGGGTTTCTTATTAGTATGAAAAATTTCCCTGCATCAATTTTCCTCCATATTAAGATTATGTGGATTATTGTATGGAAACTTGACAATATGACTCAACTAAGGTTCATTGAAAAGGGATTTAATTCCATGAATTTCTTGATCAACTTTCTCCAGTTTAAGCATTCATCTGAGGACTTCTTTGGGGATTGTGAATCAAGCCACATTTATGTAGAATTGGTCAAGATTTTTCATTCAACATTTCATCAAGACGAGAGGTTTTCTTATTGATTGAAGAATAAGCATTGAGCTTCCATTTATGGAGAAGAGAGATATGAATTCACTTTGATATATCTCATTAAATAAAGTCACGTGCATCATGATTTAAAGTATGTTGTCTGATAACTTTTATTGATTTATACAAGCCATTCCCTTTGGATTTTGTTCAAGATTTTTGATTTCAAACATTGAATTGGGATGCAATTTGATTCAAGTACGGAATGCATAATGGTTTAGTTCATAATTTCTTATGGAAGAAGATGGCGCATGAACATAAGTTGAGATTAAATCACTTACCATTAAGGTTTGGTTCATTAATTTAAGTATATGTCAAGAGTAATTTTTCAATTGGTATGCATCATCTCTTTTAAGTGCAAGGCTTACTTTCAAAGAACCAAAATGCAAATGGAAGGAATCTTCATGAGTACAAAATAAAAAGAGAGATTACCTTGAATATATGGAATTTCTTTATTAAATTCAAAAGGGTTACAAATCAAGAGGATAAAAAAATTTCAAATCCATTCAAGTTTTTCAAGCAAAGACACCATTTCATTCAATCACAAGTTTCATTCAAATATCATTCATTCATGATATCCAAAGGCAAAAGAAATTGGTTAATTCAAAATGATGGATACAATACATCACTAACTTCATTTATATATCCATTATCATTACAAATCACCATTATTCACTTACATCATGAAAACTAATCAAAACCTAAGTTCTAAAATCCCTAAGGTCCCAAACTTATGCTAACTTGATTTTAATCTCTAAAACATGACTTTGCTGCCAAAGTAGTCCACAAACCTTGCCAAAACCTTGATGTCTAGCCTTGTTACTACTACTATACAAGTCCACCTAATATGTCTAAAACTGTTACAAAACAGCCTTAGACTAGATGCTAATCTGCCCCTGCATCAGTCCAAAACTACTACTGCCCTGCAGAAAACATTAGTCCATAAAACCCTTTGCTCAGCTTGCAAATCTGCATCAAACCTGTCCAACAATTGCACAAATTCAGCAAAACATAACTACATCGAGAAAGTACAATAGACAGTAGCCTAAATTGTTCAAACTTCACCAACTTTCCCCCCCTAAAACTCCCCTTACTAATCTATATATTCAACCTTCACTCACTCTTGAAAAGAAGAAGGAAAGATACAAAGAAAAATCTGTAGAAACTTATCAATCTTCCTCCAACTTCAAACTAATCTGTAGCAAAAGTTCTGTAGAAATTGAGCTTGAACCTCCATTCACATGCATATTTCAACACAATTTCATAACCACAATATTCAAAAAATAAGACAGTAACAAAACTCGGCACAAATGTTTCCATAACCCTTCATCACTCTCTTCACACACCACCGAAATTCAACAAACGCGATTCTCCCTTTCGAGTTCTACTCTCATTTGCTATTTCAATAATTATCACCATCATCCCTCATTCGTGAGCTGCCTCACTATCCTCATCATTGTTCAAACAACAACTTCAATCACTTTCATTATCACTGAAACAACAGCGAAGTCATCAGGCGAAGCCTCAGACGCTGACGAACAGCCCACACACGCTTAACACAAAAATGATTTGTAGGATATAACACGCATGGAGGCAACAGAAACCAAGCAGATGCATAGAGAAACATAAAAGACGAAGAAGAAGTTTTGAGGATTGATATTCAACATACTTGTATGTTTTCTTGCTTTTAATTTCTGATTATGAATGATTGTTGTTTCTTTTCGGTGCTAACGCGGATGGAGAGAGTGAGAACACAGGGTCATGTTTGTTGAGCTATGAGGAACCGAAAACAATGGAGAGAGTGAGAATTTGTGTCATGTTGTTGTTGAGCTATGAAGAACTGAAAACGATTGAGCGAGAGAACAAATCGAGTTTTGTTGTTGTATCAAATAGAAGGTGATCGAGAAAACAAGAGGGAGCCGCAAATTGATTTGAGTTTAGGGTTCCACTGAACCCGTGTCGTGTTGTTATGTTAAGGGAGGCGGATCCGGGTCTGGCCCGACCCGGTCCAAGCCCATCCCTTTTTTTAGTACACCTTTTTATTTTTGTTCTTTCTAGACAATAAAATGTGTTTGTCTTCACTTAAAGCCCATTCAAATTTTCTCCAAGCCAGCCCAGTTTGTTATACTTCAAAACCCCCATGTTATATTTAGTACTTCCTGATTTTCTTTTTTATTTTATTTTATAATAATTAAGTTTAGTTTTAATATTTCAATTACTTAGTTTAATTCTATGTTAACTTAAATATTTTAGAATTTTAAGATAGTTTATGTTTTGTTTTTTTTTTTAATTTTAGAATTTTAGTTTAGTTTAGATTTATTTTAATAACTTGAGATTTTTTTAATCAGTTTAGATGTTATTTAATAACCTTAGAATTAATTTAGTAAATTTTAGAATTTTTATTTTTGAAAATCTTATAATTTTAATTTAGTCTAAATAAATTTTGTTTTAGTTATATCTTTGATCTATATTTTTACTTTCTTTTCTATCAAAATACACCGAAAAACAATTTTCTTTCTCTTTTCATTTGCTCGTAGTTTACTATTTTTTTGCATTCTTTCGATTATTGTAATTGCTTACGGTTTGCTTAGGCCTTTACGAAAATTGCTACAGCTCCCTATGATTGTACGATGACCCGCGTTTGTCCCTCACATCTAATGATACAGCTCCCTACCAACCAATGGTAAAGTTACATTATCTAAATGGGGAGGAAAAGAGAAATACTTTTTGAGTAGGTAGATCGCTCGTAATCGCTTGCTCACAAACAAAACCATTTCCACACTTCACCCTTTCAAAACAAATATTTTCAAAACAAACATTTTATTTGCATTCTCAACGATTCGAGAATCATTACAAAATTGCCGCACTTAGGCATTTTCAAAATATTTGCAAACTTACACAAAACATAAAGCATTTCAAAGTGAGCTAGTAATTAAGATCCCATAGATAACTACGGATGAAAAGAGTGCTAACACCTTCCCTTTTCATAACCTACCCCCCGAACTCAAGAAAATTCTCAAAAGGTCTTTCCTGTTATTTTCACCCTTTACTTTATTGGATAAAAGAAAATTCGATGGTGACTCTTGTTATCCATAACATTTTAGATAAAACACAAAACACTAAGTCAGTTCTCCCACCATATCACTGAACTGGCGACTCAGATGGGGATATTACTAAAATTGGGGTTACCTTAAGAGATAGATCAACTTTATTGCTTTGCATTATTTGCTTTACATTTTTGGGTTATGCTTGGGTTTATTACTTGTAAACATCATATACCCGGCTTTGGGGCATTTTAGGTAAGTAGCAATAGATCGTGGAAACTGTACGACATAGACCAATATGGTTGAAGCGATAGCTAAGTTAGTGTGACACATTTGTGGGTACTGATGTCCCTTGTGTTGAATCAAGGAGAATACGGGGCCGTTGTATGGTGTCATGAAGCACTAACTGACCGTAGAACCTTAGTTGAACAACTTGGCCATTAGAAAGTAGAGAGATAGCGGGATTTGGTGCAAATTGAAGTTGGTTGATACTCGATAATACACTCATTGAGATCGGACTTTCGGGATATTTTGTCCGCAGTGGATGCTTGAGCTAAAACAATGCCCGATGAAGAAAGATCAGTGATATTGAGATTCCTTAGAACTCGGTTACTTCTTTTAGGACAAGTTGAGCCAACTAAACTTCAAGAGGGTACTTACCTATAAACCTCATGCAAGCCTAAACCTAAGGTCTTTGTGTGTTGCGTTTGTGATTAATCATCCATGACATCATAAACATCATAACGTCATGCCATCTCATTTCTTACTAACCATTTCAAGGACCTAGGTATTTATCTTTGTTCTATTTTGTAGGATATGACTTCTGCTTGTAGAAATACCATCCGAATCAGCTTTATAAGGGTGCCTCCTCAACTTAAAGAGTTAGCATCAAGGGTTCCTGAAGATTCTCCTTTCACCAAAAGATATGGTCGACTTCTCAATCTAGTTACCTCAAGCTTTGAAGAAGATATGATGTGTGTGCTCTTTCAGTTCTTTGATCTTGTACATCATTGTTTCACCTTTCCCGATTACCAATTGGTGCCCATAATGGAAGAATTCTCTCAACTATTAGGAGTACCATTCCTTGATCAAATTCCATTCACTAGTTTAGAGGAAACTCCAAAGCCTGAAGTTATTTCCAAGGCCTTACATTTGAAGAGGTCCGACATTGTAGCTGTGATACGGTGGGAGAACTGACTTGAGGTTTTGCGTTTGTGTTCGCAAATGTTTTGGTTTAACAATAGTCGCCACCGACTTTTTATTTTATCCTAAGGAAAGGTCAAAAAGCACAGGAAAGACCTTTGATATGTTTTCTTGGGTTCGGGGAGTAGATTATGAAAAGGGAAGGTGCAAGCACCCTTTTCATCCATGGTTATCCATGGGCTCTTAGTTACTTGTTTAGATCACTTGCTTTTGCTTTTCAATTGTTTGAAACGGTGCTTTGTTTTTGGTTTTGAAAGATGTTTGGAAAAGAGGCCATCATTGTGGCAACCTTTGTAATGATTCTTGTTTGAATGTATACAAAGGTGTTTTGTCTTTTGAAAAGATTTCAATGCTTGAAAGTTTGATTTGGGAAATGTCTTGAAATTGTGTTGTGAAATAAGTTCAAAAATAGCAAGGATGCTTTTGCAAGTTTGGATCAAGTAACTAAGAGTTATCTACCCTATTTTACTCAAAACATATTTCCTATGTGTTTTTAACCCTTTTGACAGTGTTATTTCTCCATTGCATTTGGTGAACAACCTTGTGTTAGGATGTTAAACGGGACAGGCGCGGGTCATTGTATAGACCATGATAGCAATTGTGTCAAGTATCTTTGGCAAATTTTTGAGGGACTTGATCATTTTGTTTTAGGTAACCAAGATAGCGTCATCGAGGGACTATGATCTTTTGTTTTGTTTTTGTTTTGCCAAAGTACCCAACATGCATAACATGGCCCATTTTTGAGGCAACAAATGGATTGTAACCCTAGGGGTGCAAGTGTTCATTGTGTATTAATTTTCATGCATGTTTGTCTTTGTATTAGGTCAAGCTACTTGTTGATTTGGATTTTTGCATACAAACCCTAATCTCTAATCATGGCATAATTGAAAGCGTAAAGTGCGAGAATTAAAAGTCTAAGCTATTAGAACATGATTATGGGGATGGGGATACAAGTTTGAATATGGGGATATTTGCAAGAAAATAAAACCCTAGTTTACTATTACATCCAAATTGAATCAAATCCATAAATAATAAATGGACAATATTTAAATAAATAAAATAAATAAATATACCAAATAATATGAATTATGCAAAAAAGTTTTTTGTTTATTTGTATGTAAAAATATTTAATGTAAAAAATAAAGAAGTAAATAAAAAGATTAATTTTATTTGGTTAAGGGTAAAACCCTAATTTTCTTTAAGAAAGTAAATATATTAATTATTTTATTTATATACAATAAAAATAAAATAGTATATGTAAAAAAATAAAATATATTTAGAAAAAGTATTTTTTTAAGTATATTTAATAATAAAAATAAAAGTGTAATATTTTATATTTTTATTCTAGAATATCTAATAAAATAAGAGTGTGTATATATATATATATATATATATATATATATATATATATATATATATATATATATATATATATATATATATATATATATATATATATATATATTTATATTAAATATGATAAAATAAAATAAAATATATACAAAAAATAAAAATATATTTAGAATAATATTTTTAGTGTGAATAAAAATAAAGAATAAAAATAAAAGTATAAAGATAAAAGTAATTAAATTGCTTTTTATGTTAGAAAAATAAAAATAAAATGCAAAATAAATGTGAAAAAATTAAAAAAATATTTTTGAGTATTTTTTATATTTGGAAATAAAAAAAATAAAATCAGAAATGAAAATAAAACACAAAAATATAAAATATATAGAAATTGGGCCAGGGGGTGCAAAAAGTAAAAGGGGGATGTCAATAGTGAGTCAGGC